TAAATAATGAAAATTAAATAATAAAAATAATAGATAATTAATTACCTTGCATATTCTTGTCTATAACTGATGTGTCTTCTGATATAAAATTCATATTATTTGTATGTACAAACTCCACAATCACATCAATGTCTCCCTCGTTAGACATTGCCTTAATGTTCAAGTAAACCAACATTGCTGGCGCGTCTTCAGTCTTTTCCCCATCCCTAATGGTTAATTTTTGGATAAGGGAATTAAATTGAAAGATTGGAAATTGGTCAATTAATTAAATTTAATAAATTCTTAAATTTTTTTAAAAAAAACCCCTCATTTACTTTAAAATTCTAGTGGAATCAGTTAATATAACCTAGATATTTTAATAAAATATAAATAATGATTTAAAAAAAAAATTTTTTTTTTTAAAATTATTGTTAGCTTTAAAAGATGCTTAGCCAACTGAAATTATTAATGATACTCACAGCCTTATTTGCAAATCTGACTCTACCGAGTTCAAGGCCTTCTCGTGTCATTGGATTTCCTTGAACAAAATATACTTGATCAAATTGACTTAAAATTTTCCATTGACTTGTTGTAGGTCTTGTTGGTGAAAGAATCACAATTGGTTTAAACTTATCCAAATGTGATTTACGTAATGGGCTAACAAAACAATCCAAATTACGTGGGAAAGTTGCAGTTGAATAATCACACAAGAGGATATGTTCATTGATTGTATCCAATATTAAATTTATGTGTTCGCTATCAAGAGCATTTGATGAGGAGGAAGAGGGATCTATAGTGTGATGATGGTGCTGCTTGTAATGTTGTTTATGATCAAAGTCTGATGCAAAAGCAAGAGGGGTAGAAAGCGCGCGTTGATGACGTGTAATAGTATCTGGTTTGTAAGGATATTCGTGATGGGTTTTATCAGGGCTTGTAGGACGGCCCGATTTTTTCTTTATATCATAATATGAGCCACCGTTATTATTTTTCAACGTGTCGGATGACAATAATGGTTGTCTTTCTGAAGGAATTTG